AAAAAATTATTTTTATTTTTCAATTACCATTGACATGCAATATTATATTAGTTTCAGGTATACAACATAGTGGTTAGACATTTCCATACCTTATGAAGTGATCACCCTGATAAGTCCAGTACCCATGTGGCACTATACATAGTTATTACCATATTATTGACTATATTCCCTATACTTTACATCCCTGTGGCTGTTTTGTAACTACCAGTTTGTACTTCCTAATCCCTTCACCTTTTCCACCCAGCCCCTAACCCTCACTCCCATCTGGAACCCATCAATTTGTTCTCTGTATCTATGAGTGTGTTTCTATTTTGTTTGTTCATTTATTGTGGGGTGTTTTTAAGATTCAACATATAAGTGAAATCATATGGTATTTGTCTTTCTCTGTCTGACTTATTTCACTTATTATAATACCCTCTAGTTCCATCCATGTTGTTGCAAATGGCAAGATTTCATTCTATTTTATGGCTGAGTAATATTCCATTGTGTATATTTACCACATTTTCTTTATCTATTTATCCATTGATGGATACTTAGGTAGCTTACATATGTTGGCTATTGTAATTAGTGCTGCAATGAACATTGGGGTGCATATGTCTTTTTGAATTAGTGATTTGAATTTTTTCGGATAAATATTCAGAAATGGAATTGCCAGGTTTTATGGTAGTTCTAGTTTTAATTTTTTGAGGAACCTTGATTGTTTTCCATAGCGGCTGCACCAATTTAAAATTCGACCAACAGTGCATCAGGGCTCCCTTTTCTCCACATCCTCACCAACACTTGTCATTTGTTGATTTATTGATGATAGCCATTCTCACAGGTGTGAGGTGGTATCTCATTGTGGTTTTAATTTGGATTTCTCTGATGATTAGTGACACTGAGCATCTTTTCATATGTCTAGTGGCCATCAGTATGTCCTCTTTGGAGAAATGTCTATATTCAGGTCCTCTGCCCATTTTTTAATCAGATTGTTTGGTTTTTTTGGTGTTAAGTTGTATGAGTTCCTTATATTTTTTGGATATTAACCCCTTATCAGTTGTATCATTGGTGAATATCTTCTCCCATTCAGTAGGTTGTATTTTTGCTTTGTTGATGGTTTCCTTCGCTATGTAAAAATTAGTTTGATGGAGTCTCATTTGTTTAGTTTTTCTTTTGTTTCCCTTGCCCGAGGAGACAAATCTATTACTATGAGCAATGTCAATGCAGTTTTCTATAAAACTTGGCCTAACTTCAAACTTGGCCTTTTTTTTTCTTTTTTCTTTTTTTTTTTTAATTTTATTGGGGAACAGCCATGGTCATTGGTTACACACTGCTTTCATGCTATAATGGCATAGTTGACTCTTTGAAGGAGGGCATAGCTCACAGTGGCCCATACGGGGATTGAACCACCAACTTTGGTATTATCAGCACCACACTTTAACCAACTGAGCTAACCAGTCACTGCTCTGAACTTGGCCTTTTTCATTGGGTGACCTGAACCCAATGGAGGTACAGACAGAAGAGCGTTCATTGCTCTCCTCCGCTCCATGGTCAAACTCGCTCTGAGGCACCATCAGGTTCCAGACCTTAACCACTGACATCATCACAGGTGGCTCACACGGCTTTCTCATTTTCAGGAATTAGAAGCCCAGTCCAATCTACATCAAAATTTCCTTCTCACATCCAATTTAAAGTTTTTCCCCAGCCTCCTCTCAGACCTGGCCGGGTGGGAAGTGGAGAAGTAAGCTCTGTTTCTGCACTCCGTTCCAGACCTGCCTTTGCTGGCCTCTCCACCGTGGAGGGGAAGGGGAGGGTGCTGGAAGAGACCCAAACTCTTTTTATTTGGCTGGTGCTGTTTATCTTCTCTCGGCTCAGGTTGCCCTTGTGTGTAGTAGATGTTCCTCTGCTGGCTTTTCATTGAGTGCCAACGGTGTCCTCCGCATCTCATGGTCCTACAGTAACTGCTAGGCTCCGTGGCTGACCTCGTGCTTGCCCCCAGCTCGTTCCTACAAGGCATGCCCTAGAGCCCGTCATTGCTGGGCTCCCCTCCCCACCCTCTGCAGCAAAGTCCAGCTCCCTTCAGCATGTCCACCCAACCCTCAGGAGACTTACATCCTGGTAAGGTACTCAGCTGTGGCCAGGCAGGCCGCCGTCTGCTGCCCCCGCCATCACATCATGCTCCACTCAGTTTCTGTGTCCCCGTACTTCTCCCAGGTCCAGGGATAGGTGTCAGGCAGGTGCATGGCCTAGTAGTCCACAGCACAATTTTCCAAAGGTTGGAGTCCCAGCTCTAATGTAGTGCTATGTGACCTAGAATAAATTACACAACTTGTTTGTGCCTCTATTGTCTTGTTGCAATATGAGAATAGCATTAATTTCTATCCCATAGGATTACTAAGAATGATCTTTGTTAATGCGTATAAAGCCCTTAGAACAATGCTGGGCCCATAAGGGTCCAGTGCTATAAAATGTGTGGTAAATGCACAAATGCCACAGTCTCCCTCACCTCCCTCCCTCCCACTGGGACTCAGGGCTGGGGAGTCTCCTTCCTGCAGGTATCCCACACTCAAAGTTTGGGTCTCCTGCGACTCCCTTCACTTGGCTTTGTGAGATGGGGCGAGGGTCCTCTTTTCTTCCCCAGGGGGAGGAGAGAATTACTGTGGGTCCCCTTACCAAGCAACAACCCTCTACCTTAAAGCTTTCACATAATCAACACCCACATACCTTCACGGAGATTTGTGGATAGCTGGCATTTGTTATATCTGTTATATAATAAATACTTCCTCTCTCTCCTCTCTATATAGATACAAAGATAGATGTCCAGTTTTAAACAGAACACTTTAAACTAAGTTGCAGATATCATGACACTTTACCTCTAAACACTACAACAATAATCTCTTAAGATCTCCTAAAATGGTCTCCCACATAACCAACATAACTATGTTCACACCTAAGAAAATTAATATTAGTTCCATAATAGCATATCATCCCCAGCCTTTGTTCATGTGTCTTCAATTGTGCCAAATGTCTTTTGTAGCTTAATTTTTTAAAATTTTTATTCAGGGTCCAATCAAGTTTCACATATTGTATTTGGTTATGTCTCTCTAGTCTCTTTGCTCTAGAAAATATCCTTGTCTTTTTTTTTTAAATGATATTGACCATTTTAAAGAATGTGAGCCAGTTGTCAGGAGGAGCTGCCTACAACATGCATTTTCCTCATTCACTTTCACCATCTCTTACAGGAAGGAGGAGGACGAAGGGGCCTCTCTTTAGAATGCAGGATCCTCGTCATCTCTTGGCTAAAATGACCTTGGGCTGAAACTCAGAGGTGGCGGGGAATACTCCCATTCCTTCTGTGGTTCTGCAGGTTGTTGGAGAGGTACTACAGCACCCACCCTCTGGAGAAGAGCAGTGAGCCTCCTGATGGGCCTGGACTGAGAGCCCAGGCAGGGCTTCCCCATGGGTACAGTGGGAAAGAAGGCTGGGCGAGCCCACAGGCCTGTCACCCCCAGCACCCTGCTTTGCTGTCGAGAGAAATAAGCAACGCCCCCACCCCTGGACATGAAAGGAGCTGAACATTCTTCTCCAAGTACACAGCACCTGGCTCCAAAAAGCTGCCCCTGGGCCTCGGTAGTGGGTGGAGCCTAGGGATCATGGCCCAAGACCAAGGATTGATCCTTCCAATTTTATTCAGTGACTTAAATATCAGGTGACCAAGACATCTGGGTCAACAAGACAGGGGTGATATTTATACAGGGACACACTAACCTGGAGCCAGAAGCTCTGTACCAACCCCACAACCCTGCTGAGCTGAAGCTCCTGCCTCTACAGGTACCTTTCTTGAGTCCTTTTTCCAGTCCCTAGGATCCCCCACCATATATCTTGGGAACCAGTGAAGAGGGATGGATAGGGTGCACTAGGTCAGGTGTAGGAGGACTGAGTTCTAGTCTTGGCTGCCCAGCTCCAGATCTCAGTTTCTCCATTTTTAAATGAGCATCTTAGACTGGGTCATCTCTAAGGAATCAAAGTGTGATTGGAGTGGAGAGATGGAAAGGATTCCCCTCAGCATGAGGGCAGCCCTGGCCCTTGCTGCAGCCCAACCTCAGACTCCAAGACTGTGAGGGGAGGTCGAACATCCTCGGAGTAGGAGGTGCCTTACTCAACCTTGATAAAGAATGCCCTGGGAGAGGAGTCTCACAAGCCATTTTCATCAGCCCTGTGACCTTGGCCTGCTCAGTGTTGCTGGGTGGGAACAGTTCCCTGTTCCCTGGGTATGAGAAGGTATCAGCAGGAAGCCAGCACTGATGGGGACCCTTTGGCACAATGCCCAGCAAACACTCTGCATTAGGGGTTTACAGGGGTGCGTCCCCATTTTGAAGTGGTCACTTGCCTCCACTCCAGCCTCAGAATTGGAAACTGAGGGCTGGCCAAGTGGCTCAGTTGGTTAAGAGTTCTCTCAAGAGTGCGAGCTCTGAGCAACAGGGTCGCCAGTTCGATTCACGGCCCAAGCTGAGCTGCCAACAGGTGGCAAGATGGCTCAGCTAAAGAAAATTAAAAAAAAAAAAAAAAGAATTGGGAACTGAGGTGATGGGCAGAAGGAAAGGCCAGGGCTGGGAGTTCAGACACTCCAGTTGAAAATCGCAAGAACCCTGTCCAGCTCTCAGATTCTGTGATGCACTAAGCACGAGCTCCTGGGACGCAGGACCCATGGTGTATGGAAATTAGTCTTTCTGGTACCCAGCTGAGAGCCAAGCACAAAACATGTGCCAGTGTTTATTGACTGATTGAGTGAATGAATGAATGAATGAATGGCTCCATCTTCACCCTGTCTGGTTCCTCTCTCCTCCCTCTGAGGTTGGTACAGATGGCATTGTCTCAGCCCAGTTCCTTCTCAGCTACCGAGCTTCTCCTGGCCTCTGCCATCTTCTGTCTGGTATTCTGGGCAGTCAGGGCCTGGCGGCCTCGGGTCCCCAAAGGCCTGAAGAGTCCACCGGGGCCCTGGGGCTGGCCCCTGCTCGGGCACATGCTGACCTTGGGGAAGAGCCCTCACCTGGTCCTGTCACAGCTGAGCCAGCGTTATGGGGATGTGATGGAGATCCGCATTGGCCGCACGCCCGTGCTGGTGCTCAGCGGCCTGGACACCATCCGGCAGGCCCTGGTGCGGCAGGGTGACGATTTCAAGGGCCGGCCCGACTTCTACAGCTTCACCCTGATCACTGATGGCCAGAGCTTGACCTTCAACCCAGACTCTGGACCAGTGTGGGCTGCCCGCCGGCGCCTGGCCCAGAACGCCCTCAACACCTTCTCCATCGCCTCAGACCCGACTTCCTCATCCTCCTGTTACCTGGAGGAGCATGTGAGCAAGGAGGCTGAGGTCCTGATCACCAAATTACAGAAGCTGATGGTAGAGGCCGGGAGCTTCGACCCCTACAACCAGGTGGTGGTGTCAGTGGCCAAAGTCATCGGTGCCATGTGCTTTGGGCAGCACTTCCCCCAGAGCAGTGAGGAGATGCTCAGCCTTGTGAAGAACAGCCACGAGTTCGTGGAGTCTGCCTCCTCTGCGAACCCCGTGGACTTCTTCCCCATCCTGCGATATCTGCCCAACCCCACACTGCAGAGGTTCAAGGCCTTCAACCAGAGGTTTGTGCGGTTCCTGCAGAGAACAATCCAGGAACATCATCGAGACTTTGACAAGGTGAGCCCAGCATGCAGGTGGTGAGAGGGCACCCTGCAGAGCCTGGGGGCAGCCCCTCTCACCCAGCTCCAAAGGACCCACAGGGCTGATGAGCTGCCAAGGCCTAGGAAGGCTCTGAGGCCAGTTTCCTCATCCCTATAGCCTCATTCTCAGAGTTTCTCAAAGCCTCAGAGAAAAAAGGCTGTGCGTGGGGCCCTGGAAGAACCCTGAAATGTGGGGGGCTGTTACTATGTGTGAGAAGGCTTTTGTTCCTTAGGAACCTGAACCCTGAAAGAGACTAATCCCCAGCTCAGGTGTCACTTTGCTTCCCTGTACTCACACTAACCCCCTCCTTTGATATTGGACTCCTGGGGTTATTGGGAGGAAGGGTCAATGAGGGAGGAAACCATACTTTAAGCCCTACTCTGGGCTGCTACCAGCTCTTGCTGTGAGAAAACCCACTGACTAGAGGCCTGGGGGAAGTGCCAGCCGGGATGGGGCAAGATGCAGCCTGTGGGCCTGGGAGTGCTGGCGGCTCCTCAGCTTGTGATCTCTCAGAACAGCGTCCAGGATATCACAGGTGCCCTGCTCCAGCACTGCGAGAAGGACTCCAGCGACAGTGGTCACCTCATCCCCCAGAAGAAGATTGTTAACCTTATCAACGACATCTTTGGGGCTGGTAGGAGACAGGCCCCTGCCCCTCCATCCATCAGTGCCTGCCATTTACCCAAGAACTGCCCAGCCCAAGTCCATCAGATAGCTTGCCACCAAACACCAGATAGTGAAGAACACGGAAACCTGCCCCAGGTTCAGAGTTGGAACCCAGACTGTGCCACCAACTTCCAGTGGAAACTCAACCAAATCCCTCTCCTCCTCTGGGACTCAGTTTCCCCATCTGAACAATAAAGGGCTCTCTGGCCTATAAGTCTAAGCCCCTATAATCCCAGCAGTTAATTATGAAGCCAGTGACTCAAGTTTGGAGGGTGGGAATGGGGATGTGGGAGGCAGAGAAAGACAATGCTTGGTGTGTACACGGTGGGTGCTTGGTAAATATTGATTTCCTGTTCCTGTCTTCCTTCCCTCCTCACCTTGCCGATGCTGCCCAGGATTTGACCCAGTCACAACAGCCATCTCCTGGAGCCTTATGTACCTTGTGACAAATCCTGAGATACAGAGACAGATCCAGGAGGAATTGGGTATGTGGAGAGAAGCCTTGGGGTCCCAGGCCATTTGTTCAATCTATCTATAGCTGTTATGTGCAAGTCCTGGGCATACAATTTTGCCCACCCTTGTCTAGAAGATTCTGGAGAGGGTTGATGGGTCTCAGACATGTAAACAGACATAGAGTGACACCACATAGAGTGACACTTGGGATAATAGAGGATGCAGATACTATGGAGCAGGCGGGCAGCCCCTAAGTTCTGTCTGGTCCTTTGTGCTTTGCAGACACAGTGATTGGCAGGGAGCGGCGGCCCCGGCTCTCCGACAGACCCCAGCTGCCCTATATGGAGGCCTTTATCCTGGAGACCTTCCGACACTCCTCCTTTGTCCCCTTCACCATCCCCCACAGGTGAGGCCTACCTATTGTGCCCTCCCTCTCCTCATCCTCACCATTTTTCTCCTCCGAGCTTCTCAGCTCTCACCCTGCTTCAGCACCTGCTTCCTGACCATGACACCAGGTTCCTCAGACTCTCGGCCTCTAGTCTACTCCTATTCAGTCCAAATATGACCAAACCACCCAGTTCTCAGGAGAAAAGCACAGTCCTGACCTCTGCTCTCATTCACCTCTGCTCACATTCCCTCCCTACAAGCGCTCTCAAAGCTGGCTTCACCATTCCTCATAAGCATGATCCAGCCAGCCTCCTATCTCACTTTTGCTGGACCTTTAGCTTGGGGTGCCTCCTAACCTCTTCTCTGGCTAACCAGAACCCTTTCCCTGCCCAAGATCAATCCTGACACAAGCTTCTCCCGTAGAAGCCTGTTTTTGGTTCATCCAACTGGCACAGCTTCATCTCGGATATCTTGTAGGACTTACAACCATTTGTCCTTGATTATATCCTGGGATTTTAACAATGTCGGAAGAGTTAGCAAACACTTCTCTGCCCATGTGTTGGTCTAGTTATTCCCAGAGTAAGAGGCCTAACTCCTCAGCCATGCTGGGCACTCCTCAGGGCTCCCAAGCATGGCCAAGTACACAGCCGGGCGCAAACAAAAACATTGTAAATGCTTGTTTAAGTTGAAAAACAGGAGCCAAGGAAGGGGAAGGATCGTTTTCCCCCTTTTCTCCTCCTGACGTTTCCTCCCTGTGTAGGGTATGGAGACTGTGGTGGGCAGGCTGTTGGGGTGGGGTGAACGTAGGAGCAAGAAGCTCCCAAAGACATGCACCAGTTTTCTGGCCCCTGAGCCTAACAGAGTCCTCTTCCCTCTTCAGCACAACAAGGGACACAACACTGAATGACTTCTACATCCCCAAGGAGCGCTGTGTCTTTGTAAATCAGTGGCATGTCAATCATGACCAGTGAGTACACATCCCCCACTAAAAAATGTATGAAGTTCAGCAGTCAGGAAGGTTAGCTGTCCCTCTAGAAACTGAATAATAAAGAAATGGTGCTTCGATTGCTATATGACCTTCACTAAGTGACAAAATTTAGTTCCAAGTTTCTCAAACTTTCGTGCACATAAGAATTAACCAGGGAAAAGAAAAAAGAGAATTAACCAGGAAGTTGGTTGCAGATTATGGCACCTTATCCCCCAAGATTCCACTTTGGTAGCTAAGATGGAGTACTCAGGTGATCGGATGTGAATGGCCTAGGGACCTCTCTTAGGGAAATTCCTCTTTAGTCAATAGGTAGGGAGATCACATCATTTACCATCCAAACGGGGACACTTCTGAGTGTGGGATGCTGTCAATAATTACTCTAAAACAATAAGCATAAACCAAGATATACTGTAGATTCCCCTTGTATACTGATTATAAGGAAGATAATTTAATATTAAAAAGCACTATTTTCAAGGCTGATTGTTTTAGAAAGAGCTATGTAAGAGCAATAAACACTATAGTACAGTTTGGTCCCTTTCCCCACCTTCCTTAGCTCTTGATCTATTCTAACACTTGTGATAGCAACAGAAGTCTGTTCAGAAGTCTCCCTCCAGGCCTTTCCTCCCAGGGCCTCTCAGCCCAGGGATCCCAGTTCCTCTATTTCTCTTGCAGGAAGCTGTGGGAGGACCCATTTGAGTTCCGGCCGGAGCGATTCCTCACTGCTGATGGCACTGCCATCAACAAGACCTTGAGTGAGAAAGTGATTCTCTTCGGCCTGGGCAAACGCCGGTGCATAGGGGAGGTCCTGGCCAAGTTGGAGGTCTTCCTTTTCTTGGCCATCTTGCTGCAGCAGCTGGAGTTCAGCGTGCCACCAGGCATGAAAGTGGATCTAACCCCCATCTACGGGCTGACCATGAAGCATGCTCACTGTGCGCATGTCCAGGCACGGCTACGTTTTTCTGTCAAGTGAAGAAGGCACCAGTGTGCTGATGCAGAAGGAAGGATGGGGGTCACCCATGGGCCTCAGCCTTTTTTTCCTTTCTTTGTTTCTTTTAGGAATGCCTTTAATGAGATATAATTCATGCAGGAGATGAGAATTTTTTTCATTTTCCTTTCTAGATTCCTTGGCTGTTCTAAAATTAAATTGACATAAGTAAAACAGATTAAGAGGAGAAAAACAAATTTAATTTTGTGCATACATAAAGCCCATGAAAATATGAGACTCAAAAAAGTGACCAATGCAGGCAGCTTTTATACCTTTAAGACAAATTCATAATTATTTGTGAAGATTTGGCAAAACAAAGGAGTTTGAGCTTCGGGTAGCAAATTGATAAAGAAGTAACAAAGTTTGTTTATACAGCTTTCTGGGCCTTGAATTCCATATCTCAACTGATAAGGCGGCCTGGTATAGGGAGGAAATCTTCACACAGGAGATTTATTTCCTGCTTTCAGGGAAACAAAGAAGGAATAGAGAGTCCTTATACCAGCTGTTTCTTAAGTAATTTTTATCCAAAATAATCAATACGCTGAAATGGCATATTTTGGGGTGGCTTATTTTGCTCCCCCTCATTCACATAACATATAATTCACCTCCTTAAAGTATACAATCCATGGTTTTTAGTATATTCACAGAGTTGTGCTATCACACAACAATCAATTTTAGAACCTTTTCATCACCCTAAAAATAACCCCATATCCATTAACAGCCACTCCCCATTTCCACTTAACCCACCTTCCCTGCCCCACCAGGCCCAGGCAATTACTAATTTTCTTTCTATCTCTATAGAGTTGGCTACTCTGGACATTTCATATAAATGCAATTATACAGTAAGTGGTCTTTTGGGCTGGCTTCTTCACTTAGCATGTTTTCAAGGTTCATCCATGTTGCAGCATGAATGTTTTTTTGAGTCTTGAGACTAGGCTCAGTCATTGATGGGTACATCTTTCACTGCTCTCTCTTTTCTTTTTCCCTGTATGATTCAAGTCTTTGAACACACTTAGAGGAAACAGGGAGGAAGGGAGCCAGCCTTGTGGGCCAAACTCAGACGGGTGAATGGGGATCCCTCATTGTCTCATCCTAAAAAGGTAGAGCATCTGACTCCTCACAGGGCCCTGATTTGTTCATCCTCAGCTAGGGGAGGATAAACTCCCCAGAAATGCTTGGATTACCTGCAAAAACCCCAGGTCTCATCAAAGGGTACTATCAAAAGAGTGAAAAGATAAGCCACAAAATGGGAGAAAACATTTGCAATTCATATGTCTAATAAGGGATTAACATCCAGAATATAGTTAGGAACTCCTACAACTCAACGGCAAAAACAACGAACAACCCAATTCAAAACTTAGAAAAAGACTTGAATATAGACAGTTCTGTAAAGAAGATGTGCAGGGCTAGCCAAGTGGCGCATTGGTTAAAAGCTGGCTTGGGACGCCAGCTCTGAGCAGCAGGGCCCCGGTTCGGATCCCACATATGGGCCAGTGATGCTGAGCCCTCTACAGCTAAGATGGTGAACAACAGCTCAGCCTGGAGCTGGGCTGCCATGAGTCGCAGGCGACGGCATAGGCTGCAGCCCCTGCTGCAGTGGGCTGCCATAAGCTACCATGAGTGGCTGGCAGCCAGCATGCACGACCAGCAGCTGGCATGAGCTGCCAAAAGCTGCTGTGAGTGGCCATCCAGAAGCCAGCGACCGATCTGCCTCACCAGGGAAGAGCGCAATGATAATACCAACATGGGCCAGTGAAGCAACGTCCTCCACAACTAGACTGAAGAACAAAAGGACAGCAGCTTGTCTGTTCCCCTTCCCTGACTCCCCAGTGCTGTTCCCCTCCCCCAATTCCCCAATAAAAAAATCTTAAAAATAAACCAAAAAAAGATGTGCAAAAAGACAAGCACATTAAAGGATGCTTAACATCATTAGTTATTAGAAAAATGCAAATCAAAACCACAATGAGATGCCATTTCATACCTACTGGAATAACTATTTTAAAAAACTAAATGGTTATGAATATAAGTTGTTATATGTAAGCCTCATGGTAACCACAAAGCAAAAACTATAGTAGATACACAAAAGATAAAGAGAAAGGAATCCAAACATACCACTATTGAAAACGATCATATCACAAAGGAAGAGAGTGAGAGAAGAAGAAATGAACAGAAGAACTACAAAACAATTAACAAAACAATGAACAAAATGACAATAAATACATACTTATCAATACTTTGGTTGTAAATGGACTAAATTCTCCAATCAAAAAACAGTGGCTGAATGGATACATATATATATATATATATATATATATATATATATATATATATAATTTATTATTATTTTTTTAAAGATTTTTATTGGGAATTGGGGGAAGGGGAACAGACAAGTTGCTGTCCTTTTTGTTCTTCAGTTTAGTTGTGCAGGATGTCGCTTTCTGCACTGGCCCTCATATGTGGGATCCGAACTGGGGCCCTCTGGCGTCCCAAGCCAGCTCTTAACCAACACGTCACTCGGCCGGCCCTGGATATATATATTTTAAGGCCTATCCATAAGCTGCCTACAATGATGCCCACTCTCACCACTTTTCTTTAACATAGTATTGGAAGTCCAGATAAATTAGGCAAGAAGAAGAAATAAGAGACATCCCAATTTGAAAGGAAGAAGTAAAACTATCACTATTTGCAGATGATAATACTACATATAGAAAACTCAAAAGACTTCACCAAAAAACTATTAGAACTAATAAATAAATTCGGGATACAAAATCAATATAAAAAATTCTACAATATACAAAAATATACAGAAATTGAATTTCTATACACCAATAACAAACCAGCAGAAAAATAAATTAAGAAACAACCCCATTTACAATTGCATCAAAGAAAATAAAATACCCAGGAATAAATTTAACCAAGGAGGTGAAAGACTTATACACTGAAAACTGTAAAACTTTGATTTAATGAAAGAAATTGAAGAAGTCACAAATAAATGGAAAGATATTTCATGCTCATGGATTGGAAGAATTAACATTTTTACAATTGGCCATACTAACTACCCAAAGCAATCTAAAGATTTGATACAATCCCTATCAAAATTCCAAAGGAATTTTTCACAAAAATAGAACAAATAATTCTAAAATTTGTATGGAACCACAAAAGACTCAATCATGAGAAAGAAGAACAAAGCTGGAGACATGCTTCCTGGTTTCCAACTATATTACAAAGATACAGTGATTAATACAGTATTGTAAAATATAAAAGTAGACACATAGATTAATGGAACAGAATATAGAGCCCACACATAAATAGTCAATTAATTTATGAAAAGGAGCTTAAATATTTAATGGGGAAAGATAATCTCTTTTTTTGTTTGTTTTCTCAATTACAGTTGACATTCAGTATCACTTTATATTGGTTTCAGAAGGACAATCTATTTATTTATTTATTTATTTATTTATTTATTTATTTATTTATTTTAACTTTATTGGGGAACAGTGTGTTTTTCCCAAAACCCATCAGCTCCAAGCCAAGTTGTTGTCCTTCAATCTTAGTTGTGGAGGGCGCAGCTCAGCTCAGGTCGCCATTTTCAATCTAGTTGCAGGGGGCGCAGCCCACCATCCCATGCGGGAATTGAACTGGCAATCTTGTTGTTAAAAGCATGCACTATAACCAACTGAGCCATCCACCGACCCATCAGCAGGTCAGTGGCATCTCAGCTCAAGTCATTGTCTTCAATCAAGTTGCGGAGGGCTCACCTCACTGGCCCATGTGGGAATCGATCCGGCAACCCTGTTGCTTTGCTCAGAGCTCACACTCTAACCAACTGAGCCACCTGGCTGCCCTAGGACAATCTCTTTAATAAATGGTGTTGGAAAAAGTGGACAGCCATAATGCAAAAGAATGAAACTGGACCATTCTCTTACACCATACACAAAAATTAACTCAAAATACATGAAAGACTTGAACATGAGACATGAAATCACAAAACTCCTATAAGAAAACATAAACAGTCAACTATAATTAAATATATACTGGGGGTACCAAAAATGTATACAAGTAGACACTTTGGTCAACGTTGCTCTAGCAGAAGTTTGCTGTAATCAGAAGTGCCTGGATGTGATGGTAACCACTTTGAGCACCTCTTGTAACTGCAGAGGTCAAACGTGACTTGTATTTATCTTTTGTTATCAGTGTATGTTGAATATTACAATTTTAAAAGTTTTTTCCTTTCTTAAAATGTGTATACATTTTTTGGGCTATATATGTATATATATCCATTTCATTCATGTGATGTGGAATACAGCATAGGGAATAGAGTCAATGGAATTGTAAAAGGTATATATGATATCAGAGGGGTAGTAGATTGGGGGAGGGGGTTATCACTTTGTGAGTGGTGTAAATGTCTAACTATTACATTGTTTTGTACACCTGAAACTAATTTTAAAAAAAAACTTAAAGAAAACATAAGTGGTAAGCTCCTTGACATCAACCTTGGCAATGGTTTTTTGGATTTGACACCAAAAGCAAAGACAACAAAGGCAAAAATAAACAAGTGGGACTACATCAAACTGAAAAGCTTCTGCACAACAAAGAAAACTGTCAACAAAATGAAAAGCAACTTACTAAAAATGAGAAAATATTTGTACAACTCAATAGCAAAAGATAATCTATTTTTTAAAATGAGCAGAGGATCTGAATAGACGTTTGTCCAAAGAAGACATACAGATGCTCAACAAGTACATAAGATGCTCACCATCAACTAACTATCGACGAAATGCAAATCAAAACCACAATGAGGACCGGCTGAGTGACTCATTTGGTTAAGAGCACGAGCTCTGAGCAACAGGGTTATTGGTTCAATTCCCACATGGGCCAGTGAGCTGCGCCCGAGCTGAGCTGCCAACAGGTGGCAGGATGGCTCAGCTGGTGAGAGCATGTGCTCCTAACAACAAGGTTGCCGGTTTGACTCCCACATGAGATGGTGGGCTATGCCCACCCGCAACTAAGACTGAACACAGCACCTTAAGCTGAGTGGCCACGAGTTGCCGACAGGTGGCTGGATGACAACTGGACTTG